TTTGTGCGCAGTCACGCGACTTTTTTCTATTCTAAATTCAATTGAAATAGCAAGTTTCACAATATAAAAAAGATCGACGATCGATTTTGTCACATGTGATAAAACGAATGTCCACTATGCTGGATAATCTTCATTAATTTCTACTAAATAAAGGTCTGATGCGAACGTGTTACTAAATAATTACTTCTGCGGAATGTAACACGAACTCATATAATTAAATTAAATCATTCGGAAATTATTACAAAATAAAAATAGAATAAAATAAAATTAAAAATAAATAATAGATGAAATAAATAACTAAAAATAAATAATGAATACTAAAAATAATAAATAAATAATATAAATAATATAAATAATATAAAAATAATATATAAATTATTACTCCGGATTTTCGGGGTTATTGATCAGTGGATTAAGGTCCAATTCGCATTCCGGTGACATCACCTCCGCGCCAGAATTGAGCTCCTGCGAAACAGGAAAAGTCAAATCGTTCAATATATCATCCCAGAGCAATGAGGCTTGTAACCGTTCAGCCACAATTGCCCTTATTCCTATCATCAATTTCTCAAAATTTCCATCCATCATTTCCCGAAGGGTGCTAAGACGTAATCTTTGTGGGGGTAGATAGGATAATCCAATTGTGTTGAACAACATTACAGTTCTCTTTGCCATCTTGACGATTTTTCCACTTTTATTGTAGTTGTACTGACATTTTTGATGAATTTCCTTCTTCATAGTTGCAGGATATTCTTCAATGAGTTTCCCCAAAAGATAATAATACTCAAAGGCATTACTATTTCTTATAACCTTTAATTTACCCAATATAATTGTCAATTGGTTATCTTCATCTCCATTTATTTTGGGTAGTACTTTTTCATCAGTTCTTATTATTCTGAACTCATCTAAATATTCATCAATTTCGGTAGGTGGTTTGGGTGATGTTTCTTCTAAAATTTGTTCTTCCCCATCCTTTCTAATTTTAACCCTTCCGGCTGCAATGATCAACTCCTCTCCTCCAGGCATCTTCTTAGCTAATTGTAATAATTGAGTTAGAAGTGTTTGAGTAAGGTAAGTGGGTGTTTGGCTCATTTTTAAATTTTATGAATTAATTCATGATTTGTGATACAAGTGCACAAAATTTTGAAAATTAATTAGTAAATTGCGGGGATATTAAAACATAATAAATTCAAAACACGATAAAATCTCAACTCGCTTACTATACAATTGCATATTTAATTCTATATAATTATGACTAAAAGTAAAATAGTTGCTCCTACACTTATTTCTTGTGGCCTCATTATTCCTGAATTACATTTTGGACCTTTTTCACGTAATTGGTGGTTGGAAACAATTACTGACAATGGGCAAGAATTATTTCCTATATGCGTAGGAATGTCAATAGTAACAGAATTAAATGGTCGAAATTTCACTGTACGCGTTTTCAAAGGTAGTGAAGGTCAGCCAGGATATATTTGTGAGTCTGGTGAGTATATTGGTGAAGAAAAAGATCATATAAGTAATGCTCTTAATACATTATATCAAAAAATTTTTAAAAAAAAAACCAAATATTCTGGAGTGAATGAATTTGGTTTAGATAATCTTTTAATATTAGAAAAACTTCTAGATGGTGTATTATTTAGACCATTTTCAGTAATGGTAGAAAAATATAAAATATTTATATATGGATTAGGTGTCTCAGATAGTGAAGATTGGCAACCTCAAATATATCATATCAAGGAATCTCTGGTACAAAAAAATCAACCAGTCTTATACTGGATTAAAGATATTGATGGGAATGGTCCAAAGCGGTCTTTTGTTCGAGAAGAATTGATGGTTGTCAAGAATGTTGAATACCCGCCTCAGAGAATACTCAAGAGTTAAGGAAATCACCTGCTTCTTCTTCGATTTCTTCATTAGTAGCAAAGTGGTTTTTGGCTAATTGATGATATAAATCACTAAGTTTTAATACAGCTTGAAGAATTTTTGGTTCATTTTTATACCATTCCTGATATTGACTTTTCATTGATATATATTTATCCTCATTAGGGTATATTCTCTTTGCATTGTTCAAGATATAAATATCTGGATCTTCAGCTTGATGTAATTCAGTATATCGCTTTTTATAATTTTGCATAAACTTGCCATCCTTTTCTTTTTTATAATAGACGCCTGCTTTTACTATATTAACTATAGCTTTTTCAATATCTTGCCAGGTTGGAATAGAGGACTTAGCCTCTGTAGATACTTGATTGATATTTTGGGTACTAGTTGACATTTGAATATGTGTTATGTTTTGATTATCTAAAGTTTTGTATATTAATAATATAAAAGTTTTTGTTTAAATAAACATTTTCACTATATATAAAAAAATGATTGGTGAATATACTTGTCCATTCTATCATAATTCTGGTGAAGTTTGTGGAAGAACTTGTATGAGATCTGAAGGGTGTAGTTATCATTGGAAAGCTAAAAGAAGAGTACCTTGTAGTGAATGTGGTAAACCAACTGGTTCAACTTCTGGCAGATGTCCATTGCATATTAGGGGGTATTATGTTATCCAATACTATAATAGATTACATGCTAGGGCTTCAAAAATGTCTTCTCAATAAGTGAAAAATCTGGCTCAAATTTTATTAGACTTAGCGTATATCAAAAATTTTTTATTAGACTTTTTCATTAGACTTAGCATATATATATATCGAAATTTTTATTAGACTTGGCATATATGTATAATTTTTATTAGACTTTTGTGTGCCAGAAAAGACAGAAAAGTAGTGAAGAATCGGCTTTAGATTGAATTCTGCTATATCAAAAAAAATGATATCATTCTTGATATGGATTTGGATAAAAGATTGTGTTCTAGATGTATGAAAAAATGATATGCTATTTGGTGTTTTGCGTGGTTTATTGATAGCAAAATGATTAGTGATAAAAATCATTATCCTTTTTGATATGAATTTGGGTAAAATAATGTATTCTAGATGTATGAAAAAATGATATGCTACTTGGTATTTTGAGCTTTGAATTGATAGCAAAATGATTAGTGTTAAAAATCGTTATCCTTTTTGATATGAATTTGGGTAAAATAATGTATTCTAGATGTATGAAAAATGATATGCTATTTGGTGTTGTTGTGTGTGAATTGATAGCAAAATGATTACCACTGTGCCAGAACACCCATTTTTGCCCTACTTATTCCTATCATCAATTTCTCAAAATTTCTGTCCGTCATTTCCCGAAGGGTACTGAGACGTAATCTTTGTGGGGGTAAATAAGATAATCTGATTGTATTGAACAACATTACAGTCCTCTTTGCCATTCTGACGATTTTTCCACTTCTATTGTAGTTGTGTTGACATCTTTGATGAATTTTCTTTTTCATAGTCGCAGGATATTCTTCGATAAATTTTCCCAAAAGATAATAATACTCAAAAGCATTACTATTCCTTATAACTTTTAATTTACCCAATATAGTCATTAATTGATTATCTTCATCTCCATCTATCCTGGGTAGTACTTTTTCATCAGTTTTTATTATTCTGAACTCATCTAAATATTCATCAACTTCAGTGGGTGGTTTGGGTGATGTTTCTTCTAAAATTTGTTCTTCCCCATTCTTTCTAATTTTAACCCTTCCGTCTGCAATGATCAACTCTTCTCCTCCAGGCATCTTCTTAGCTAATTGTAATAATTGAGTTAGAAGTGTTTGAGTAAGGTAAGTGGGTGTTTGGCTCATTTTTAAATTTTATGAATTAATTCATGATTTGTGATACAAGTGCACAAAATTTTGAAAATTAATTAGTAAATTGCGGGGATATTAAAACATAATAAATTCAAAACACGATAAAATCTCAACTCGCTTACTATACAATTGCATATTTAATTCTATATAATTATGACTAAAAGTAAAATAGTTGCTCCTACACTTATTTCTTGTGGCCTCATTATTCCTGAATTACATTTTGGACCTTTTTCACGTAATTGGTGGTTGGAAACAATTACTGACAATGGGCAAGAATTATTTCCTATATGCGTAGGAATGTCAATAGTAACAGAATTAAATGGTCGAAATTTCACTGTACGCGTTTTCAAAGGTAGTGAAGGTCAGCCAGGATATATTTGTGAGTCTGGTGAGTATATTGGTGAAGAAAAAGATCATATAAGTAATGCTCTTAATACATTATATCAAAAAATTTTTAAAAAAAAAACCAAATATTCTGGAGTGAATGAATTTGGTTTAGATAATCTTTTAATATTAGAAAAACTTCTAGATGGTGTATTATTTAGACCATTTTCAGTAATGGTAGAAAAGTATAAAATATTTATATATGGATTAGGTGTCTCAGATAGTGAAGATTGGCATGGAGCAGGCACTGGCTACATGTCATCATTTATCTCTGACTACAAAAGAAAAAGATGCTTATTTCTCCAAAGTATAAAAAATAAACTTTGCTGCATTGATATTTATGATGATGGAAGAATCATTGCACAGTTTGAAGGGAAGACACCTAATGAAGTGTGGGCAAAATTATATTTATTGCAAAGATTTAGTGGTGATGATCTTTTTGGCCTAAAGGATTCCAATATTCAAAAAAAATTAACACAACATCAAAAGCCCACTTGTACATTTAAAGATTGGAATAATTTGAATATCATGGAATCTTTGTATTTACATCATTTAAAAACACGTACATTAGCTATTGTTGATTAGTACAAATTATTTGAAAATTGGTCTCTTCAAAGTAGTGACATTATTGAACTTCAATCAGAGCTTGCCAGTATATATCCTTCTGATCACATTTTTAATGAAAGAGAATGTCGTGCTTGGAAAGCATTAATAAAAGCTGCAGGAGACACAAATATAACACCATTTGATAAGAAGGAATCAATGGTATTACAATTTAATAAAAATAATTTATTCCAATAATTTATATTAATATCTTTACCTTTATTTTATAATTTTTAGTGTGAATTCTGGACAAAAAATTCTAATCCTTCATATGATAAAGCAACATTACTTATGCTTTATAATAAAGGATTCCTTTCTCCTACTCCTAATGAGCCAACATGTGATCTATTAATATGTAATAATGCTCAACGTTTATCTAAAAGTATGGCTGATGCTATGGATGCAAATAAAAAAGGACTAGATGGAAAATGTAGAATATTATCAATTGTAGCAGATAATTTCACTTCAGAAGAATTGAACAAATTAAAGGTAAATTGCTTAAAAAATGACTGTAGGGGAAATATTAACATGACTTTACTTTTTAGATAAATGTAGCATCTAATACCCTAAGTAAAGCAAGAAAATATGCAAGGTTGAATGGACCAGGATGCCCTCCTATTGAAAAACCACAAATTCATCGAAACCGTTTTTCAGAAGAAGCAAAAAAGCAATTTGAAAATTTCTTTTCAGATAAATCAATTGTAAATATGAGCTCTTATAAGGTTGGTAGTAAAACAAACCTCCCAGTGTTATATCTTAAGGATACAAAAAAAGCACTTTGGGATAAGTATTCTGTAACATATCCAAATGGTATCAAGCAATCCTCCTTTATGACACAATTAAAAAGTCAAAGGTTTCAATATAGAGAAGACCTTGGAGGGCTATGTTCAACCTGTTGTCATTATGGTTATAATGTTTTCAAAGATCTAATCCATTTGGTTTCATCAAACAATCTTGATAAAGAGCTTAAAGTAAGCTAAAATATATTTTTTCTTAAATTTATAATTATTTACAAAAGCTAAATTTAACATGAATATTATGCAAGGCCAATTTTATTCATAGGATTGAGTTGCTAAGAAGACATATGAAACTAAATTATGAAAAAGAAATCAAAATTGAAACAGATGGTCAACCTCACCATGATCCTTGCATTTCACATTGTCTTTTATATGCTTTTGGTATCTGTGAAGAAAATCATGCAAATACTTGTCAAAACTGTGATGAATTCTGGATCCTATTTGAAAATCTACAAGATACCATTGGTAAATCATCTAATGGTATGTTGGATGATGCCCAGGAAAAACTTTGCTATTATCTTAGCCATCAAACAAGGAAGGTGTATTTGAATTCACAATTTTCTTTTATACTTAGAGAGCTAGATTATGAAGGTGCAGTTTTAGTAGTAGATTATAAAATGCGTGTTCTTCCAAAATCTACTTGTGAATCTAAGGATAAATTTTTTGGTAAGAAGGGATGGACTCTGCACAGTGTATTATTATATACTAAAAATCAAGATGATGAATTAGATGTTAGTGCATTTGATCATTGGTCAAATGATACACGACAGGATGCCTGGTTTACAGCATCTTCTCTTCATGCTGTTCTCACCTCAATTGAGAATAAACCTAAATGGGTATCTATAATATCAGATAATGGTGGCCATTATCATAATTCTGAGCTAATGGTAATTTTAAGCTACTGGCACTCATGGTATGATATTGAGGTTAGGAATTGGACGTTTTTAGAACCAGGAGAAGCTAAAACTGCTATTGATTCTCATCATGCACAGGTAAACTGATAATTGTTTTTAAAAATAAGATCATTGATTACTAATATTATTTGACTATTTAATAGGCAATTTTTATTTGAATTATTAAATTTTTAACCAATTTATTTGAGTTGATTGATTATCATTTTAATAATAGTTAAGAAGCTATGTATATAAATTCAATAACTATATTATTGGGTTGTATGGGTGAAAATATTATTGTAATTATAAATGGATACTGTGGCCTAATTATAGAATAACCCAGATTCCAAATTATTAATATAAATTTTAGTTGATAAATTGATTATTTCGTTAATTGAAATTATAAAATCAAACATGTATAATCACATTTTCACTTTAATTTTTCAAACAATCAATATATATTCTCAACCCCATACTTGAATTAAAAAAAACCACAATTACTATAATAATTTGTAATGGATTGACTATGAATTAGTTAAATCAATAAAATTATCAAATTTTTTAAATGTTTTGTTAAAGTTTTGATTAATTATAGTTTGAGAAATTACCTGCTTTAGTTAATATATTAGCCAATTGATGGTGGTTTCATTTTATCAATGATCTAGTTGAATTAAAAACTGATTAATTTTTCAATTTATTAATTTCATTATAATAATATTAATATTTAAATAGATCTCACATGCAATCAAAAGATTTGTGAGTTTGGGAAATGATGTGACAACAGGTGAAGATATTGAAAAAGCCATTGATAATAAGATTCGAGGAACATCAGTTCACATATTGAACCAAAGAGGAATGACGGAAAAATTGTAGATACAATTGCTGGAGTATCTGATTGGTATTCTTGGAAGTGGCCAATTGATGAGGAATCTAGTGGATTTATATTTGCTCGTGAGTTACCTAATGTAGGTGATTGGACTAAATTTTCACCCACAAAAATAAATGGTTTAATTAAACAGCAATTCACAAAACCTGAACCAATGTTTACACCACATTCTATGCCAAAGGAGAAATGGAGTATACCAATTCCTGATGCAACAGGTAATAAATATAATATTTTGTATACATAAAATTCATTAATGTCAATATTAATGTATTTAATAAATAATAGGTGAATCAATTAGAAAAAAACAGAAAAAATTTTCTGAAAATACTTTGTGTAATGAAATAGATCATTTTGCCAATGGTAAACTCTAAAGTATTTGATAATTACTGCAATTAGAATTGTCCTGGCAAAAAATTAATTTTTTGAATATAACATTTTTTATTATAGTAAATAATGACACTTATAGTGCATCCAACTTCCAGAATTCTGATTTTTCCCATTGTGATGTTTTAAATTTAAAAGAAGGGTAAGAATATTCCTAAATATATAATAAAAACCATATAATTTAATGATCATGATATATTAATATGTATGTTAATTTAGACAATGTATAGAAGACAAATTCCCACTTAAATTAGGATGGGCAATTAAGGGAAAACAAAAATTTGGAAAAAAAGGTTGTGGAAAAAGGATGCCAAAAATAATTGTAGATTTTCTTAAAACTTACTTTCATTCTGGTAATTATGATAAAAGCCAAAGATACACACCAGAATCAATGCATCAGGAACTTGTTGAAGAAGCAAATAATAATAATAATTTTACACTTGAACAAATTCCAAAAGTAGAAACCATTCGAAATTGGATATCCAGATATTCATCTGCAATGAAAAAAGATATATCTGATAAAATGTTAGAAAAAAGTAATGTTAAAGATAATAGTACTTTTTCCATGTCAGGGTGTCTGATCAATTCTTCTGTATAAAAGGGTCAAATTTTGAATTTTTGAATGTTATAATTTCTTCAATCTATTTTTTGTCATAACCTTTCTTTAACACTTCTTTGATTCTAAGGGTATATTTTTCGTCATAACCTTTCTTTAACGCTTCTTTGATTCTAAGAGTATATTTTTCGTCATAGCCTTCCTTGAGCACTTCATTGATTCTAAAAGTATAGTTTTAGTTATAGTCTTCCTTGAACACTTCGTTGAATTTAAAAGTATAATTTTCTTAATAGCCTTTCTTGAACATTAACAGTCATAAGATAAAAATTGACAACATAGACTATTTTATATTTATATTCAATAATAAAAATAATTTCTCATGGTAAATATTCATATTATTTAAAAAACTTACATGTATATATTAGCATAAATAAAATAATCTTGCTTCACTTCATTCATGGACTGTTGTTTTAATAAAAAATAATAAATTTTATTTTTATATAAAATTCGTGAAACAATGAAATAACATAGTAAAAATTCTTTGAAATCCACGGTTGCTAAGTAGCAAAGTCAAAAGCTTGTAAAGAAAACGATAATAAAAAATATATCAAAATAATATTCGAGATTTTTTGCATCATATGATTTAATATTCTGTGTGATATTTATCATGTGTGTTTGTAAAAAAAATTTGGAAGTTGGTCAATTGTGACCACTTAATAGTGACGATCCCCCAAAATTTACTAATTGTGGTGTCTACTTCTATCGTGGATCACGAATTAAATGTATTTGTTTCAGAGTAAATTTTTGCAATGGGGTATTTATAAAGTTTGATTGTTAATGTTGATTGTTGTATTAATTTGTTTGTGTTATACAATTATTTGTGGTTCCATGTGCCTCTCTTGGTATGACTTTAACCAGTTAGCATGTACAAATCTTTTTTGAACTTTCCCTTCTTGATTCCTTAATTGGTAAGTCCCATTTAATCCAATATCATGAATGTAAAATGGTCCTTCCCATTTTTCTTCTAATTTCTTGGCAGAATTTTTGTACAACAGTACTTTGTTTCCAATATAAAATTTTGTTTCCACAACTTTTTGGTCATACCGTTTCTTTTGTTTTTCTTGTGTTCTTGAAATATTTTCTCCTGCTTCAACTCTTTTATCTGGCAAGTTTCCAATGAGTTCGTAAACTCTTTTCAATAATAATTCTTCTTTTTGTTCTTCGCTACTAATTTCTGTAGGGTACGTAGGAATTTGTAATTCAATTGGAAATATTGCTTCTCTTCCATAAGTCAAATAAAAAGGTTCATGCCTAGTAGTACTATTGATCATTGTTCTATAGGCAAATAATACTGAAGGTAAATATATATCCCAATCTTCTTTATAGGTGGCCACATACTTGGCCAATGCTTCGCAAAGCGTCCTATAGTGCAGGACACCTAGTCCCACAACTTTTTATCGGTCTTGTATATCCTTTAGTATACCAGAAATGGAAATGTAACACCAAAAAAACAAAACATGATTTTGAAGCTAAGACCTTTCTCCACAAAGCTACGATTTCATTTTGTTGATATGTCACATTACCATGGAGAGATCAAGCCTCAAAGTTGCACAAGTTTACTATGTTAAGCCCAAAACTGTCGCGTTACACGCGATTTATATATATATAAAAATGAACAAATTGAAACAAAATAAAAGTTTTTGAATTTTTAGTTGATGATCACATCCATATTAGGTAACCCAATGTTTATTCTTATTGCCGATTTTACTATTTATGGAATGACTAGGAAATATCACATGACAAAACAATTTTTATTGCATTTTTGATTGGAAATTTTTTCCCAAAATTCGTCGTCGTGGCGCAGTAAGTTGCGGGATTAGGTGTCCTGCACTGTATATAAATATGCTAATTTGATCACAAAAGAATTTTTTTTACCTTGGATTTATTGAGTATGAAATTAACATAACATGTTCATATCAAGGTTCTTCATTGTTATTATTGCTACTATTGTTATTATTATCATAATCATTATTATCATCGTCTCCAACATCATCACCATCATTATCATCATCGTTATTATTGCCATTATCATTTTTATTGGTAAAAAAAATCTTGGTTGTTTGTGCTATTGTTAGCCGAAAGAAATTTAATTTTATAAAAAGTCAAACCAAATCTTGAGCAATTTTGGTTATTATCATCATTAATTAAAATATATCAATCAACACTTACATATTTATTGCCACTTTCCAGCACAAAGCACCCCACAACCTGTACTATGTTATTAATTTGAAACTTTTCACCACTACCACCACCACCAGATCATAACCATTTGTTGTTTTCTGATAGTTTCACACCTGATGGGTTATTATATTTGAAATAATCAACAATCTTTTCCTTGAATGTTCACCATTGTTGCTGCTCACACAAAATTTTTAAAAATTAACTCATTTCATACTCATCAATGCCTGTTCTGAAAACTGCAATTCCTTTTAACAAGTTGTCAGTTTAAATTAGTTTTAATGGTACATCCTAAACTCAATAACTTGGATGCAGCAATCAATTGTTTACAATATAAATAAATGCCTGACTTATTGAGTTTAGATGTATAAAAAAAGATATTTTCATTACCCCTTAAAATCATTAAATTAACACAGCCATACTGCAGTGAGTACATAAAAAAATGCTAACACTTTTTGTTGACTGTGGTACATCTTTTTTAAATATCAAAACACTGCACTATTGTGGTAAACATTTTGATTGGTAATTAATCAAAAAATCACTAGCGACTTTTTGTTAATGTTAACACTGTGGGTATGTACACATTTCTTCAATTGGTGATTAATAAAAAACAACAAAAAATAATAAAATCACTTAATATTTTTTTGACAAATACAATTTTAAAGTTTTTAAAATTTATCACATGCACAAATTTTAGCCAATAAATTTCAAGAAAATCATTGTGATATGTACAAGCAGACTAATGAATTTTAGCCAGTAGAATTTAAGAAAATTATGGGTTATGTGGGAAAATATCACGTGAAATAATTTTCGACCAATGAAATAAAGAGAATTTAGTAAATTTTATTTTACTATATGGGGCATACTGCAACAAAACCAGACAAGTGAACATTATATTATCATGTTTCTTCATATGCCCATTTTGGATATGGGTAATAATTCATGTAATTTGCATGATGTTAAAATCATCTTACTGGATAGTTTTTTCTGATACAAAGAAAACTTGGGCTATAACCACAAACAATTAACAAATATGTTTTAAAGAAAGCAAATGTATGAATGATTTTTATTGATAAAGACTTTAAAATGGTTATAGAGTAGAAAATAAGTAATTCTGAATTATCTGTATACAAATATTGCATTATTATAATAGTGTACACATTTTATCTCAACCATGAATCTCAAACTAAGTTAAAAAATGACATTGCTAGTTTTTGTTATACCTATAATTTGAAAGTAATACCTCAACATTCCTCAATATAATACATCGGATCCAATAACCATAAAAACAAATCCCTCAAGTTTATTATTGTTTAGATCTGACTTAGTCACCTTAATCCAAGTATCACAAACTCCTGAATTTGATCCAATTGCTTTGCTTTTGCAATAGTGTTCATATATATATTCAACTGTTTTTTTCCTTTGTTCAAAATCTCATGCACTGTTGTAGTTATTGGTTTTTAGACTTCTTTTGACCAATATAGATACTTCCTATCCAATAAAGTTTCTTGATTTTTCACTTTCAATTTTCATATCTAATTTATTTAACTCATCTGCATTCCCCAAATTCCTTTAATACACATTGCCAACCTGTCAAATTAATTAAAGTCTAGTGCCGTAACCCAAAAAAGGAAAAAGTATGGTTGCAAAAGTGGTTGCAAAGGTAATTGCAACCACTTTTTATATGCTGTAAATACCATCATAATTTACAACACTAGTCTTTAAATGTAATATACTTTAATTCTAAGATTGTATCCTTATCTTGTTTATTTAATCTGATTCTCCCGAAAATGAAAGTGTCTGCAACACCAAAACGTCCCAATCCCTTCTCTTTTTTTCCATCAATCACAAGACACAACTCCAGTATTCAACATTCTGTTGGAAAAAGCAACTCAATAATTACCTGAAGAACAGGTTCATTTGCTGTTGAAAGTGACATTATTGACCTTGTTTGTAAAAAGTTCCTTACAAGCCTTATGAATTTATTTCTTTCTTTAGCATCATAGTTACTATTCTTATGACCCTGCAATGTGAAGTAAAGTCAATTTGAAATTAAATTCTTAAAACGGATTAAATAATAAAAAGGTTCTTTATTTAATGTATAATTTACCTATTTACATATGTATGATGATGGAGCAAAAGAAGATGTTAGGGTGGAAGATGAAAATTCATTATTTTCCTTGCCAAAACTAATTAACTGGGAGTTCGTTGGAAGTAGAGTTCTTTTTTTTATTTATTATTATTTATTTATAAAAGAAGTATTTTAATAATTGTCTTTTTTATAACTAGAGTGATGAGTGGTGATTGTAACCACCACCATTTACACTTGTTTTAGAAATATTTGTTTCTTGTTTTCTTTTTTTACTTTTGCTCTCATTATTTTTGGGTATTTTTTTTTTTTTTTCTAAATATTTTGATTGACATGACTAATATATATGTATGGCTGATGCAATTAAAAATTTTTTTTTTTTTGGGAAAACAATTTTATTTTTTACAGAGTCCATCCATCATACCCAGCAACATTCATGCTTAGGGCGCTGACATATATTAGCTAATATCATTTTAATAGTAGCACTTACTCCCCCACCCCAGGTAAGACATTTTGATCACGTGTATGACAATCATTTGCCTTTTTAGGTATCAACAAAGCACAAGCGAAAAAAAGAATTAATTTTATTAATAAATCATACATTTTAAAAGCAACATCGGAGTAAGAGAATGTTTTGCACAATTTGTAAAGCACATAGGAAAAAAATCTATTTGCAGGAAAAGGTGACAAATAAATTTAATTAATTTTGCATTTTGCAATTCTTAAATTACTAATAGTATAATGTTATTATTTGGGATCAAAGAATGCTTCAAAATCTACTGTTCTAGCAACTCATGCACTTTCAAACCAACATAATGGTTCTTTGCTTCTAGAAAAGGCAAGAATAATCATGCAAGATTCTTTCAAAAAAGCCATTAATAATGGTAACCTGAGCTTATGAGCTCACTCGTAGCTTTTGACCAAGCAGAAAATTACTAATGTCTATTATTTATTATTAATTAGTAACTACTTAATTAATTAATTAACTAATTAACTAACATTTCAGAGCCCTGCTCATAAGAGTAGAGGCAGAAAATTGTTAATTAATTCATTTCTGTAACAAACATTTTTACAAATTGAATAATAAACAAATTAATTCTTTTGTTTAATAAAACACTTTTTAGTTGGAAATTAAACAGTAGGGTTTGATTGCTTATTTGGTTATTAGAGTGGTATATAACTAAAGTTTCCATTAATAATATTTATTTGAATTATTTATTTTATTCAAATAAACTTTCAATGTAATTTGAATGCTCATAATGAATAAAACAAATAATTCAAATAAACTTTGTTCTAATTAATTCCTTGCCTTATAATAGGGCTATGTTTTATTTGTTGTTAATTCTACCATAAAAGTGTGCTTATAGCTTTCTAGGTACAAGAAAGAGACAGCAATAAAACAACTTAATCGATGAGCAATTAATCAATGAGTGTAGCTCAAAAGTTAATTCAAATTCACCCATACATATTTTGGAAATTTTTTTCAAATCTCTTTTAGGATTACATATATTAATAGTAGAGATAAAATAGTATGTTATCTATTTACATACACATAAAAAAAATTTTAAATATTCTGTACCACCACCGATTAATTAATCAATTGGAATAATCGGTGTCAAAGGATAAAAGAAAGAAAAAATTTTTAAAAAAATAATAGATTATTGGTTTAATTATTGATTTTATTTTATTTATTGAATAATTAATCTAATTAGAATTTACAAATTATTATTATTATTATTAATGATTATTTGTAGGCGGAGGTATTTGTGGTGCTATTCTTTAGAATATTGATGAATTATTATTGTTGTTGTTGTTGTTGTTGTTGTCGTCGTCGTCGTCGTCGTCGTCGTCGTCGTCGTTGTCATTATCGCCATCACCATTGATACCATTATCACTACCATAATTGTTATTGTCTTTAGGTATAAACGATCAGAATGTTTTGATAGGATCGTTTGTGATGGTGGTGATGACGATGATGCTGTTGTTTGTATTATTATTTCTACATCTTGATGATTATTTTCATTTTGATTTTGTCAATTTTGTAATGATGATGATGGTGATGCTTCTTGCTCTATTACCACTAACACTAATTGTAATTCTTCATTTTTCTCGTTCTCCCCTTCGTTCCCTTCCTCTTCCTCGTTGTCTTCTTCAATTTTTGGCATATAAGGTGGAGGCAACCCAGCACCTTCCAACGTCTTATTATAAGCAGGTGGAGGTGGCCTTATCATATTGTTATGACCATCGTCATCATTATTACTATTATTATTATTTGTGTTATTAATCGACCCAAATATTCTTATTCTTTCAACTAAGCCATTTAATCTATAATTAGCAAATGTTTGATATATTATTGTGTTGTTGTTATTGGATAATGTTGATGAAGAATTGTTTTGACCGTGTTGTGAATAAATTGACCCACCAAGATTATTTCTTTTTTGTATTGGGATTCCATAACAATTTAATCTTACAATTAACTGTAAGAACAAAGAAAAACAAAAGAAGTCAAGAAAGGATATTAATTTATAATTAATCAATAGATTTAAAAGCCAAAGAAAAAGAGAGATAATAACTCACCCAATATATTACATATGAGAGTATAACATATGCAATTATTATTAATATTTCTGTTAAATTTGGTTGTTCATTAATCTCGTAACAAATTGGTAAAATCACTCCTAAACAACCTATTAATAGTAGATAACCTTTTGTAACATATTTATGAAACTTTGGATATTTTGAATTCATTTTTTTCTCTCACATTAAATATTATTATCATGAATATTTATTTTCGTATATAAATTTTAAAGTTTTGATGTATTAAAATTACACTTTGGCCAAATAATGATTAATAATAATAATATTAAATAAAAGATGACGGATGACAAAATTGTTTTTTTTTCGCTTATAAATAAAAAAAAATCAGAATGTGATTAAGCCAAAAAAAAAAGGAAATAAATGTACTATGAAGAAAACAATTAAACTAAATAATTTTTAGTTAGAAAAAGATTATTATTCACTAATAATCAATTTCTAAACAAGGTTAAGCAACCAAATATAACACTTACAAATTTGACAAAATATATCCCTGCTACTGGTGTGAGCTGATAGATTTCTTCCGCATGTGAGCAATATCGACAAAATAGTTTAGCATGATAATTTTTGAATGTTTTTAATTGTACATCTTGTTTCAAATAATCTATGGGCTAAATGCAAGTGAATGGTGAATCGTGCATGAATAGTAAAAGTGAACCATAACTATTACCCTATTGAAGTTTAGAGGATTAATTTAGTAATTAATTATGTATTTATTTGCTTTAGTGTTATTAATTACATTATTATTGTTATATTTAAAAATATACGGTCAGAACTTGTTAAGACGAAGCCAATGTCTTCGCAAAAAAAATATCTTCAGTTTACTTGCTTATAGGGATAAATTTAATAGGTAAATGATTAAAAAAATATCGGTTTATTGTGTATATTCGGTTTATTAAAGCATCGTCTTAACAAGTTCTGACTATAATAGTTAATTTGTAATGAACATAAGGTTTTTGAATAATATAATTAGAATTGTTCATTCATTTATTCATTATTTAAAAAGAAATTTTGTTAAATCATCAGTTATTTAAAACATAAATTGGGTTGGTGCATGAATATATATCATTAAATTTATATAATTAATAAATTTTTTTTAATTATACCAAAATATTTTAGATGATATTACTGCTATTAATTATTTATACTAATTATTTTTTGTCAATTAATTGAAAACAACATCAAAATCCTACGCTATTAACATTACTGTCAATATAAACTATCAAAGAGTATGTATCCACATTGCATTTTTTTCCCCCACAAAGCCAGATCTATGACCAAACGATCTGGTTGATGAGAAAGGATTATTACGCAACCGTCAAATTAGTTGTTATTAATTATTATTATTATTTATTTTAGAAAAATAGGAATTATTTGTATTAGATACATTGGTAAAAAAATCAAGCTGAAATCACTTGGATAAATTTTCGTTCATTTCTGTTAAATTTGGTCGAGTTGATTTGATAATATCCTCATCTTCCATTACCAATTCGCTCGCAACCATGTTATTCTCAATGTTTAAATACTCACCTGCTAAAAATGAACCATCAAATGGTAGAGGTTGGAATCGTCCAAAAAATCCTTAGTCGACTACTAGTTGATCAAAAATTTCGACTATTTAGTTGATTATTTTAGTTGACTAAATTTTTTTTTTATGAATACTCTTCCGGAAAGAAATTTTCCATTTTGAATGATAAAACGCAAAAATCCTAATTGCTCAGACAATAATAATATTAGCATAGTATTAGTGTTAGTACATATTAGTATTAGTAGTATTAGTAGTCGACTGTTAGTTGTTCAAAAAAAAAGTTTAGTCGATTCCAACTTTTAATTTAGAATTATTATCTTGTACAATAAAAAGTAGAAATAAAAAATTCGACTGGTTTAATCAATTTACAAAGTGAAAATCGGTTAGTAGTTCGGTTTAGATTGAAATTACAATGATTATGAAGACGTAAGTTATAGTAAAATTGAGAATAAAGAAAATTTTACGATTTGAAATAATCACCATTACTTTATGTTTTTTTTTTCGAAGGAAACATCAACATTTAAAACCTGTCTTTTAAATTTTTTTTTTGGATGAATTAAACGTCTATTCAAGAGAGAACCGTTGTCATTATCGATTATAATAAGTCTTCGCCACTATCGCTATTAATCTGTTTCCTGATTTAAAAATTGCAATAAAATTGATTTTATCCCATTACAGTAATTTTAAAGAAAGTATCTACATACATATGTGAGAGCTCATATTAATACCCGATGCATTCACAAAGAGCAAATCATATTACAGGACGGATGGAAATAATAATAATAATAATATAATGATTTAAATATATCATGATGGGACAGATAGCAACAAATATCATGATATATACACACCCTAGACAAAAGTTTTCGGACACTTGTTTTTACTGATTGCGTAAAACTACACATAATAATTATATATGAAATTTATATCATTGACGGCCTAGGTTTTGGTGAATATGCATTTAAATTTTGATATTCTTAGAACGTCTAGAAATACCCAAAAATGCCAACGAATTGGAAGCTGCTTTACAAGAAGTGTGATCAAGAACTCCATACAAAACTTACTACAAATTAATAGAAAGCATCTCTAGAAAGATTGAGGCATGCATTTCTAGTGATGGATGGCCAACTCGATATTAATATAAATATTTTGTCGATCATCATCGTTTTCGGATTTTTTTTAATTAGAATTCAAAACCTAAGCTACATTTTGACAAAATTTTATGTACAGTTATTATGTGTAATTTTGCGCAATCAGTAAAAACAGGTGTCCGAAAACTTTTGTCTAGGGTGTGTATATTAATATATACTGTATAAGTAAAACGTTTAAAATCAAATCAAAAATAATAAAATTCAAATCTTTTTTAGCCCAGCGTCCAATTTGAATATCGACTTACAAGAAGCAACTGTTCTACAAAATCACCCTACAATGTGCAAAGAAAAAATAAATAAAAATTTAACGTAATAACATTTTGTAAAGTGTGAAGAAATTAATCATTTTTTATATAATCTATGTATCAACTAATGTTGGTTTCCAAAACTAGAGAGTTTCGCAACTGTGCGAAAGTCAAAAGATTTCGCCATAAGTCGAAACTAGTTTTGACCTTTGACTTTTGTTTTAGTTTTGACATAAATTTAATTTTAGTTTTGACTTTCGCTTCTTTAAAATAGTTTCGGCAAACAACACTAGTATCAACTGCCATTATTATATTGTCATGTGTCATGCATGAAAAGTAAACAATTTTCTGGTTTTAACAAGCATCGAATAGTAGTACTTTTCAATAACTTTTCTTCATCCTCTCCAATTCGTCTCTTGGATCTGGTGGAGGGTTTATAGATTACTTCTTCCAGTTTTATTGCATCAGTAGGAGGCATACCGATCAGACGTGTCTGAGTGCGATTCACATCATCAACAATTCATCAAAGAATTTTATTCCACAGCCACGATCGCTCTCCTACTAACAGTTTACTTTCTATTGAATTTTGTACCAATTCTCATTTGAATGCCTTAATTATTGCTAGACAATCAATATCAATGATCCGGATAGATGGAGACACCACAACGTTCCATCAATTGCCATCCAACATTAATAATTTTGGCCAGGTAAGAGGTGGCTTGGACCTTTGTAGGTTTGTTCTCTTGAGCTGTTTTTAGAATATATGCAAGTACTATAAAATGACGTCTTCTTTGAAAATTTGTATAAAAATCTTGGTTTGAAGTAAAAAGTAATGACACTTTAGTATAACTCAGAGAGAGCCCTATCAATATGAAGAGGATTCATTAGAAAGTTATAATGACATAGTTTTATTTTAGATTAATAATGCTGTTTGAACTTACGAGAAACTGATTGATTACACGGATTGGGATTTCTATTTTACCTATAAATAATCAACTGATGTAACGAATTGTTAATATTAATATTAATGAAAAATAGAAGCCTAAATTTGGTTAGCGTACACCCCGAACTCGTAAATTATTATCATGTCATTTCGCAATAACTGTCATTGCCAATACTGCTTAGCTGAATCACGAATTAATGACTATCTGTCTATGAATCGATGAAACGTCGACCTTAAAAAACACAGGAAATATTTTTATAGATGATCTGCAAAATCACTATAACCTGTCACGTGATATCTGAAATATTTTTTCTAGTTTTTAAAATTCTTTCTCGCATGAATTTCTCAAAAATCATGAAACAGAAGCAGATAATATCCTTCTCTCAAACAAATTAAATCACGGATATCTAAATTTAATAAAGGTCACAACTGAAATTGCAATTAAAATAATGCTTCTATTCATAATGCAATTTCTTTTTCAATCTTAATTATAATTCTAACTAATGATTTGACTAAGAGTTTATTCATTTTTAATTATTTCATTTGTTCATTTGTTTTATTTGAATAAAAGTTCAATAATTGAATACTCGAGTTAATTACAAATATAATTGGAATAATTTGAATAATTCTTATTCACGAACATATTTATATATTAATATGAAAATTATACTCTCCAGAGTAAAAAAAAATTTCTAATATTCTTAAAAAAAAAAAAAACAAAGTGTACTCTTTGATATTTGTAAAATAAAAAATATTATTTATAGTACTAAAGTACCATTTTTTATACAAAGTCGTCAATTAATAAATTTTTCTATGATTTGTGACACATATTTAATCATTAATGTTATTATTAATGCCGATCGCAAGGTTTTTTTAAGTCAAACGAATTTTTAATACTTTCTTGGAAAGGTTTACAAGAAATAATAAAAATTTTCTGCTTGTTCACTTTGCACTTTGCTCCTTCTCGCTTAACCTTTTTGCCTATTGTAATATATTATTTTCAAATTTGTTTATACATTCTCCAATTGATACTTTCCAAATTTGCTTAAAACCGAATTTTTTTTTCAAATAATAGTAAATATTTGTTTTTGGCAACGAGTACTTTAAAACAATTGATTGCTGCGTCCGACTTATCGGGTTTATATTAATATTAATATGTGTTGGTGTAGTTGTCGGATTTGTCGGGTGTAACATTATCATCCAATCAAATTTTTGGATTCTGGAGATAGTTTCTAAATTTGTACTGGTTACACAACGAAATTTCAACACTGGCGTTATTTCCTATACTCAAAAGTTGAAATATCATAATTCACATGTTGGACCTTTAAAAAAGAAGTCAATTCATGTAAAAACAATTTGTCTCTAATTTTTTTTCATAGATTTTTTAAACTTGAGAGTTATGTACAAAAATGCAATGATAAATTTCCGTGTTACATTTTCTTTTTTATTGCTATTGTAAAAATACAAATAAAGCAATATATGTTCTAAAAGAATATTCCATGAAAAAAAAAAGTCACATGAAATTTATTTAGATAAGTGTATAACAAGAATTGATGTCAAACTTTTTTAGTTTAAGTCATGAAAAATTTGAAAAATTAAAATTTATCGGTCAACTTTTTTTTTTATTGAAGCTGATCAATTGTTGCTATAAGCATTATAATAATAGTTGATCTGCGCCGTATTTATTATTACAATTACAATGACTTTTAACAGAATGGATTCTTTCAAAGATTACCTGTAAAATTGATTAAACCGACAAATTTGGATATAGTCATTGTAGGTTATTAATTCATTTCTTCTATGATACGGACCAATTTTTTTAATTAATATAAACCGTTAATTCTCTACTACAGCTTTTCCAGACAATACATGCCTGTAAACACCCATGCATTTATACATCGACAAGGTAACCTAGCATATACTTTACAGTCAAAGTTCATTCATTACAGTGAGTGAGCAATAGACAAAATCTCGCTGCAGCCGACTTTTTTTGTTTATCCCAATTCATTTTTGTGATTAATCGTCATTCGTTATAGTAGGAAAGTTTACATATGGTGTCGAGAGGTTTGCTCTCACAGTAATCTGATCAACAGGATTGTCACTTTTTTAATGAACTTAAAGTACAATCACACCTTAAGTCAATGATTGAGGTTTCCTGAAAATCAATAGTTCGAGTTTCCGTAAGGGAAGTTTAGTAATTTCATTTTCGAATATGCTTCGTTAGCCTTTTGTAAAGTTGAAATAAATGATTTAACCAACTGGAAAATTTCATAACTTTGTTGGGAAAGATCAATGAATGATACGAAAAAGGTTAAATGCCAGCAGAATATCAAGTTTCTACTAAATAATCACGCAACCTAGATCCTCGAGTTGCTATTTTTGGTAGGTTAATACGTTTGCTTTAGTATCGTGTCCAAGACAAATAATAATTGATGAATGGATAAAGAAAAAACATATTATTGTTGTTGTTAATATTAAAATTCAATGAACGGAACATCTATAATGGTTAGATTAATGGAAAAACAAATAATAATAGAAGAATTCTTCTGTATTATATAATAATAATAAACAATTGATAGATAAAATAATGAAAGATGCACAACAAGTTTTTTTTGTATTTAGTTCTAAAGTTTCCAGATATAACAAGGATTGCGTATGTAATTGGATATTTTTATTATTAAGATGAAAATTTATCACTGTTTACCTTACCTACCAATTATTATTATAATTAAAGTACACAACATTTAAATAATTTTCTTCGTTTATCTAGTTTGTACACAAAATAAAAAAGTAGATGAATTAGATGAATTAATAATCTGTCCATACAGTTTGTCACGATGGACTATAACTAAATTCTTGCCATAACAAATTTTTAAAACTTTTGCTTCACTATTAATATAAAAAAAACATAAAATTTTTGTAAATGATAATGACAATCTTTCCACAAAAAAAATTTCCTTATTATTATTATTATTATTATTATTATTATTATTATTATGTGTCCTTCATCCGCTGTGACAAGTTTTGACTGTATATGTAAAATAAGGCTTTATAATAAAAATGTTACACATTGTTTAAAATGGAAAAATTATATAAATATGATTGATTAATTTGATCATAATCCAAAAATTCTTTTGGAATTTTAATACATTGTTAAATTTTTAGATAAAATTTTATCACGTTTTATTTGTTCTTTTTATTGTAAAGGTATGTTTTTTTTAAAATATATTAAGAAAATATGTCGTTGTATTGTGCATATGAATTGTTAATTAAATATATATTTGAATATTGTGTGATGATGATGATAGATAAATATATGTGAGAAAGAACGAAAGAATTTAAATTTAAAGATTATCGTGTAACATATATTGTAATCGCGTCATCAATAACTAAAATATCAATCAATTCATTCCTAATAACCAGTTTTTTAATATCAAAAAATGCCATCTCACGAAGAAGGCGTTTCTCATGAAAGAGAACCACTTATTGATGATCAAACCCGTCGAGCTTATGGTCCATTTGGCTTTGCACCAGAACAACTTGGGAGGCTTGTAGATCCCAAAAATACTGACTTATTAGAAGAGTACGGTGGTGTCGAAAAAATTCTTGAAGGCTTGAAGGTTGATCCAACCGTTGGTTTAAGTTCTGATGAAGGGTTGGAATCTGTCAGTACAAAAAAGAATGCACGTCCTTTCAAAGAAAGACGAGAGCATTTCGGAAAAAATGTAAATAAGTAATATATTTTTTTGAGAGTAAATAAATTGTTTTGTATGTATTTTTAAAAAAAAAATTTTATTTAAATAATCATTGTTAGGTCTTACCTGAAACAACTCAACGTTCCTTTTTTTCATTAGTTTGGGAAGCATATCAAGATAGAACATTAAGTAAGCTTCTTCCAATGTTATTTATAAATATATAAATATATATATAATTATTATTAATCAATGTTCTTTTCTTCCAAAAAATAAAAAATGAAAAATAAAAGTTTTGTTGAGTATTGCTGCATTGGTATCCCTTGCAGTTGGTATTGGCGAAGATTATTCTTCTAGACATCCTGAAGGTGAACCACGTGTTGGTTGGGTTGAAGGTACACATTATCATTACTGTTAATATTTTAGAAAATATAAAATGATAATGATTAATAATAATAATTGTTGTTGTTTCCTATTATAATTAATTAGGTGCTGCTATTCTTGCAGCTGTTGCAGCTGTTGTTTTCACTAACGCTATTAATGATTATCAAAAAGAAAAACAATTCAGAAAATTAAATTCTAAAAAAGAAGATCGTACCGTCAAGGTATCAATTATAATACTATTTGTGATTGTAATAATAATCACAATGATTATGATCACTAATTAATTATTATCATCATTAAGTTACTTCGTGATGGGAAAGAACAACAAATCTCAGTTTATGAAATTAATGTTGGTGATATTTTGGTAAGTCACGTCACTATCCATCCCTTCTCACGATCTTTATTCCTCATAAAAAAATAAAAATTCTTTGGTTTATTAGTTTATTAATAGTTTATTTATTTCACCCAAATAAAAGCTTCTTGAACCAGGAGATATTGTAGCAGTTGATGGAGTCTTTTTGAGTGGTCATAATCTTAAATGTGATGAATCAAGTGCCACTGGTGAATCCGACGCAGTTAGAAAAGGCACAGTTGAAGATGGACTGGATCCTTTTATTATAAGTGGTGGAAAGGTTCTTGAAGGTGTTGGTAAAGCTGTTGTTATCGCAGTTGGTAATTATAATAAATAAAGTTAATCAAGAATCACTAAACTTTTATTTAATAATAATAATAATAATAATAATAATAATATCATTAACACTATATTACTAATATTTAGGTACAAATTCATTTTTTGGAAAGACTATGATGGTAAATATATCAAACAAATATTTAAATATCCTCTCAGTAAATACCCAAATAAATACATAAATAAATATGAATTTATTTGTATTTTAGGGGCTTCGTGGCGAGGGTAACGAGGAAACTCCACTTCAACAAAAATTAGACCTACTTGCAGAACAGATTGCAAAATTAGGTGTCTCGGTTGCTTTAATCATGTTAATGTAAGATTTTTGAATTTACTTGCATATCTTTTATTTATAAATATTGGCGTTAACAGTATTTTATTCTTAATATTTTATTTTTATTTTTATTTTTATTTTTTTTGTTAGTACACTTGTAATCAAATATTTTATTTCTGCTTCACTCTCTGATGAATTTCCCGATGCTGAAACCATTTTTTCCAATATGGTATCAATTGTTATACAAGCAATCACTATTGTTGTAGTTGCTGTACCTGAAGGTGTAAGTGCTTATTAATTAGTTTGATAGATTAATTAATTACTATTTATTTTCAACTCACTCGCTCGTTTTTAATACACATGTATATGTACATAAATGTATGATAGCTACCAATGGCTGTTACACTCGCACTTGCATATGCAACAACTCAAATGATCAAAGATAATAACTTGGTTCGTGTATTATCTGCTTGTGAAACGATGGGTAATGCAACTGCTGTGTGCTCAGATAAAACTGGTACATTGACACAAAATAAAATGACTGTGGTGGAAGGTGTTCTTGCCCAAAAATCATTCGAAAGCGTTGATGATATTAATGCATGGAAAGAAGGAGTTGATTCAGCTGTTTATGAAATTATTGTTGAAAATATTACTATCAACTCATCGGCATTTGAAGATAAAGATGAAAAAGGAAATCTTGATTTTGTTGGGTACGAGAAACAATTAATTAATAAAATAATAAATTTATTTTTTATATATATTTTTTTTTTTTTTTTTTTTTTTTACAAATATAATACATATATCATCCATTCACCACCATTCATTGTTTATTAATAGATCTAAAACCGAATGTGCATTACTTGGATTTTCTAAAAGATTCGGTGTTGATTATAATACGTATAGACATGAAAATAAACAAGTCAAAGTTTATCCATTTGCATCTCAAAGAAAGACCATGACTTCCATAATCAAGTTAGGCTCGTCATCGGTTAGTTTACGCGGCAAAGCAACTGCTTCCAATGCTGAATATCGTGTATTGGTCAAAGGTGCATCAGAAATGGTATTGAGTTCTTGTACTCATTTTGTGGATGCTCAAGGACAAACTCAAGAATTCGATAAAGATTCAAAATTGAAATTCGAACAAACAATCAGCAATTTTGCAAATAAAGCTTTACGTACCATTGGAATGGCATATCGTGACATTACTTCTAACGATTTCCAAAAGATTACTGACGAGGAACCACCACTTGAGAAATTGATTTGTTTGGGTATAGTTGGTATTCAAGATCCTCTTCGTCCTGGTGTGGTTGAATCAGTTCACGCATTTAAAAGAGCTGGTGTGTCGGTTAGAATGATCACTGGTGATAATATCTTGACAGCTAGTGCTATTGCACGTAATGCTGGTATTCTTACCAAGGGTATTGCAATGACTGGACCAGAGTTTAGAAATTTGAATAAGGAAGAACAGTTAGCAAAGGTGGCCCGTCTTCAAGTACTTGCCAGATCGTCACCAACAGACAAAACCATAGTTGTTTCACGATTAAAGGAATTGGGCGAAGTGATTGCGGTGACTGGTGATGGTACTAATGATGGACCAGCGTTGAAATTGGCAGATGTTGGATTTAGTATGGGAATAGCAGGAACAGAAGTAGCTAAAGAAGCATCAGCAATTATTTTGATGGATGACAACTTCAATTCAATTGTCAAAGCATTGAAATGGGGTAGAGCCGTTAATGATAGTGTCAGAAAATTCTTACAATTTCAACTTACAGTCAACATTGCCGCCGTTGTATTATCATTTACCAGTGCAGTTACTAGTGATGATAATGAATCGATTTTGACAGCAGTACAATTGCTCTGGGTCAATCTTATTATGGACACGTTGGCAGCACTTGCATTAGCAACAGAACCACCAACCGATGAACTTCTTAATCGACGACCAACATCCAAGACTGCGTCATTGATCAGTTATAGAATGTGGAAGATGATTATTGGACAAGCAATTTTCCAAATTATAATCAATTTGTTTGTTATTAGCATGGGAGCTGCAATTTTCCATCTTGATGAAGACGATAAACATGACAAGGTTGTCTTGCGTTCCATAGTATTTAATACTTTTGTATTTTTACAAGTCTTCAATGAGATAAATTGTCGAAGTATTGACGATAATTTGAATGTATTCAGAAACATTTTCCATAATCACATATTTATTATTGTGCAAATAGTGGTTCTAGGAGGACAATTTTTGATTGTGGAGTATGGAGGAGTGGCATTTGGAACTACGAAATTAACATGGTATCAATGGCTTGTCACTGTATTGATTGGATCCCTTTCATTGCCTATAGGACTTATCATAAGATTGTTACCCAACTTTTGTGTGCCAGAGAGTATTTTGAATGAAGACTTCAAGCCAAGTGTTAGTGAGGCTAAAATGCAATGGGAATCGGGAGTTGAGAAACTGAGAGTTTTCTCTAAATTAAGAAAGCCAATAATACGTGGTTCATCTGGCGCACTCGTCGACTCTAAATCAAAATCAAAGCCTAGGTCAGGTGGTGAATCTAAACCAAAAGCAAATTTTGCTAATATTGTAAGTAAAGCAAAAAATCAACAAAGAAGAGGTGGTGGTGAAACTAGTACATCTAGTTAATACTTAAATTATCTATTCATTTGTATTATTATTATTATTATTATATATATATATATATTGTTTAAAAATGAATTTGTACTTATATTATGATTTTATTATAAAAATAAAAAGATACATATATATTTTTTCATAAATTAAAAAAAATCTTAAATCATAAATTAAACGAATAAGACACATAGTAATAAACCATAAAGTTCGTTCCCTTTGATTCTTTTCCTCACGATTCTCTGTCTCGGTAATATTAACAAAATATGTAGTACGACAAGTTAATATTAATTAAATCAACGTTTATCACGTATTTCTTTTGCGATTTCTATATACGTCTTCCTTATTACTGGAACTCGAAATAATCGACCCATCAATAATTTGTTTTCGATTTTCGACATATTTGCTCCTAGTTCATTTTTTGCATATAATTTTAACAAGCAAAACCCGTTCACTTTGTCGTTCCTAGAAAATTTCCTACCACGAGGAAGGCTTTTCGCCAATTCATTTAAGTTTTGTTCGTCACGATTCGGAAAACGTATAAGATTAAATAAATCGGGAGTTAATTCCAACGCCATTATTTAGATTTAGCAATAGTAAAGAGAAAAAAGAGAAGAGAAGAGATTGATAAAAATTACAAATTTATAATTTAAGGGAGTAAAAGCATTCTGTAGGAAACCTTGGGATTTATAGGAAATAAATCGTTAATGTGACTGGAATACATTTTCCTCTTTTCATACATAAAGATGATTTCTATTGATTTATTTGAAAAAAGAATAATAAATATATTAAATATATTAACAAGTAATGAGCATTCATTTTCACTAAAAAAGAATTTACAACTAAATTTAAATCTCCTAAATTATTTCATGGTTTCATATCTATTTTGGTTTCCTATTCATTTTAATAACAAATAGTATGATCGCGTATATAATTTGCAGATTTTTCATTATCACCAGCCGGAAGTTAAAGCAAACTCCGAATAGACTAATTAGTAATTCTGTAATTATGAGCGTTAATTACTACAACAATAATAAAAAATGCCTATTATTTTTAGGAATGAAATTTAGAAATGTAAATTGAAATGTTTTAATTTGGGCAAATGAAGAATCAGATAAACAGTTGGTAAATTAATTTGGAATTTACAATATAAACTTGTAAAAAAAAATAGATATATTTGTATGATTGTGGCTTACTTTAATGCTTGACTGAAAGTGATTATTGAAATTGATATCTATCTAAATCGTCGTCATTCATTCATTTTTTTTGTGCTAAAAATAGATTGTTGCTCATGTTACCATGTATGCATGCATGTATGTATTTTTGAGAATTGTAAAAAGAAATTTTTATTAATATATCAGTTACGATAGAAATTTTCATGGTAAAATTAAAATAAATCGAATAACTTTAAGCCATGATGTTTTTATTTTTTATAATAAGATTAAACAAAACTTTATAGTTTTATTACTTTAGTCTTCTATATATAATAGGACAGAGAAAACTCTATTGAATGTCACCGACAGCACTATGATTCTCGAATGTCACTTTTAAAAAAGGAAAGGTGATCGCGACACTATAATTAGGGTCAATAGAGAATTAAAAAAAAACAAGCCATGGGGTTACTATAATGCGGATTCCAGTGATAAATGAGTAAATTTCATCGTGTAACTAGTATAAATTTAGAAACTATCTTCAAAAATCGAAATATTATGTGATTCATATGTTCAAAAAGGAGTAAATTGTGATTGTGTAAAAAAAAATTTGTCTCAATTTAAATATTGGGTGTCCCACATCATATGATTTATATAAATTTCATTAATAAGAATTTTTTAGGGAGGTTTGCGATTATTTTTTTGATGGCACAAAAAAAATTTTTTACAAATTGGCGGCATCGTTGGCAAACTTCGCAAAATTACAAAACTCAAAATAACTCTTAAACTATATGATATATTCAAATAAAAATTTATGTTTTAGATTGCTCTTTACTTGCATAAAATTTTGTAAAATATATCCACAACTTTTACTTTGATTTTCTAGCTTAAAATAAATGCCATGGTTTATATTAAAATAAAAAAGGGCCTATTAATTTATTGTCCTATTTCTCTAGTATGTTTTAAGGTTAATTCGGAGTCAGTATCTCACAAAAAATTGTCATATATATATGAAAATTTATATATGTGATATGTGATTGACTATGTTTGTAAAATCATAAAATGTAGGACACCCCCAATGTAATATGTTCGTTGTAAAAAATGGGTACGTATTACTTCACCGACAACACTTGGCGCACGATTTTAGCATTTTATTAGTTGTTTGATTATGTGGGGGTAAAAAATATTCTAAAAAATTTGTTACTTAAACGTACAAAATTTGGAATTTTCAAAATTCTAAGGCTCTGCCAATTTTTAGTTTAATAAAAAACTAGTCGATAAGTTTTGAAGCTTGGGTCATGAACAATAAAATTTATAGGTTAACTTTTTTAGATTATAGATGATCTGCACTGTAACTAGCCCATTTTTGTTAATTATTGTAAATTATTTCCTAAACAGAAATCAACTCTCGAGATTCGCGTTAATATGATCTGTAAATAGTCTTTTGCCCTGTCTCATTTGGTTATAAACTTTACCTATTAACAACTCTTTACTATGTATAAAAAAATTTTTTTTATTTGGTAAGAAAAACTCTAAAATTTTGATCTATTTACTATAATTCCACTTAGTTTCATGACTGTATCTCTTTAATTGAAGGTTTTGATACAGTTTTATTATATATATATATATATATATTATTATTATTATTGATCGACATCAGGCAACGTAAACGATCAACTAACAAAAGATTTCGTTTATTACAGAAAAAATTAAAAATGATTTTAATCTCAAGAACCTTATCATTATCTACAACGTAACGTATGATGATAATATAACATGATTCATATGATTAAAATAAATAAATAAATTATGATTTTAAGTGTCAATATTTTTGGAAAAAATAGAAACAATAGCTTATTATTATAATTAAAAATAATTAAATGTAAAATAAAACTTATGATTTATAAAGTTAAAATTTATGGCTTGTATAATGAATGATTCAAATAAAAAATATCCATCTTTGTCTATAATCAAAAAAAAAAGCAAGCACAGAAGCTATAAAAGGTTTGGAAACTGCACTCAAATATGTACAACAAAAAAATTTGGAAATTAATTAGAAACGTTAATAAATTAAAGGAAACTTCTTACAACAATTCTCAAGAAAGAGTGCAAACAAGGATTGAAGAATACTATATGCTAGAATAAAATAAATTTAAATTTTTTTTTTGTTGTTTATATATATTATTATTTTATTATTTACATATTTTTTTTTTGTAAATAAGATTTTTATATAACTGATGTCACATGATTTTTATTATAAAATCCATTAATTCCAAATTTCTCGCTTTTACGGATATTTCGATTTAGCGGGTTAGGGTAAATTTCTTGGGCCAAACTTATCCGCTAATACTAAATCGAGATATCCGGTTACACATATAATATTCGTTTTTATTCGAATTACTCGTTTTATTCATTTTAATTTTATTCAATTATTTTGCTATTACTATTTTATTCATTTTATTCGAATTACTCGTTTTATTCACTTTATCGTTTAATTCGCTTATTAGAATTGCTCGTTTTATTCAGTTTATCAAATTATTCGTTTATCAAATTGTTTGTTTTTATTCGAATAAAAATTATTATTGTTTAAACATCATTGTTGATCTGGTATGTAGTACCGAATATTCATATAATTATTAATGTAACTAAATAGTTATTGTCTACTGTACAAATTTCTTCATTGTGAGATATTCGTCAATAGTACATTAGTAGATTTGCGTAGATATGAATGAGTCTCTAAGAAAAAAGTTGCAATTGGTTGATCCCGGAGTTTATTGATGAAATGAAATGTGTCTCGATCAATTCATGGGATCATCATATGAATATATATCCTTGTACTTGGGAAAGCGGTGGCTTTTCTCGTTTGATAGCCTTTGTAATTAATAAACTACTCATAGATAAAAAATATTTTCTACCGCTCATTCATTCTCCCAAGTCTACTGTACATACATTTCTTACATGGAAATGTTTTTAAAAAATTATAACTTTGTTCATATACAACTTTCGTGTAAGGGCCTAAATTTTCATTATAGGGAATGTCCGCAAAATATTATAAAATATTTATTAATAACAACAATAATAAAAATATTTATTTTTGTCGAGGACAAAATAATGTTCCCAATGACATCAGTTTGTCTGTAATATATTTCTATTTGAATTTGGACTATATAAATTTATCTATATCATAAGCCAATCAAACAAATGTAATGCTTCGGCCTTAGTTTTAATCAATTTCTCTTGTTTAAAAATTTTATCGCTGTAAATATCCAAGAGTTCATGTCACATGATCACATTTCAAATAAAGTTTTTCAATGTTGTCGCCATAACTATCAAGATTTAGATTAGTAAGCTTAACACAATTAACAAAATCTAAAAATTCAAGTGGATAATTATTAATACTCAAATAAGCCATTGATATATTATTACCTTTGAGGGTCACTAATTCTTTGATTACATTTTCTGCTGCATCTAATTCTCTTAAATATTTGCAACTGTTAAATACAATCATTTTAAACACCAACTATTGTATTGGATATAATTCTAAAGGTTTTCCAAGTCAAAACAGTTTAATTCCTCCAAGAAATTTTGACAATTCTAACTTAACTATAGATGATTTACTTTTAGTTATTGCTATAACATTGAAGAGATTGCAAATCTGAGCAATTAGTTAACAATTTAATTCTTCTAGCTCTTTATTTTGATCAAAATCTAAAAATATTTCAATTTGACTGCAACTAAATCTAATTTTTTTAATTTGGAGCAATTACTGACATTCAATTTAGTAAGTTAATAAAATCACTCAAGTCAAATTCACCCCATTAATCCTCATTAACTAATATCTAACTCTTTAATACTAGCTCTTCCGGCTGACATCTAATCACTCTTGAGATGAAACATTAAGTGGTTTCCTTTCAATACTTTCTGGTAAATCTAAACTATCCAATTTGGTCTTTTCGGAAGGAGAGAAGGAATTAGTTCAGAGACTGCTTTTTACTTGACTAATATCTAATTCGACCAGTTTATTATTATAACAATAGTCATTTGACTTTGGAACAATTCTCTATTTTTAAATCTTTAATTTATCATGAGAAGTAATAATCAGTCCTAATTCCTAACTATGATTTAAGTTTGGACAGTCTTCAATTACTAGTTAATTTATTTTTGATGGCTGCTAGACTATTAAAATCTTTTTGTTCTTGTTTAGCTTTCAATTTCAGTCATTTTTGTAGTCAAGCTGGGTTTTCATATTAGTTGTTTGTCATGAAAGAGAGAGTTACATCAATTCTCTTGTGAAGGTCATTTTATTGGGACCTGTTATCATAAATCATTTCCTTTTATATCATGAGGAGTAATCATTCTATTTCATTCTATTGGATGAAATCATGTAAAAAGTCATGTTACCTGTAGTACCCCGAGAAGTATTTATACCCTTGGAAATTGCTCAAGAATTAATCGTCATATTAATAAACTAGTTCACCGTTAACACTTTGATAATAAAAATACTTTTACATAAAATGGTGTGATTGATCCCTAATCCTTTCTATAATTTATTGGTTTGGCCACCTTTAATTATTAGTTAGAAACCCTTTGATTGTACTGCGTTGTTGCTTTGTAGGGATACTTAAAGTAGCATAGTTATATATAGTTTAGTTTGATTATTTGGACTATATTTCAGATATAAAAGACCCCTTTTGGCTATAATCTAGGCTGTGTACCAGATTTAGTAAGTAACTTGGATAACATGCTTGTAATATTATTTTATCAAGATTTCATAGAAGAGCTTCTTGTGAGAGTGTATATTTTGTTTTAAATTTTAAATGAACTCTTTTTGGATTGTAAAATTTTTTGATCTCCAGCTGATGCTTCTTTCAAGTGAGTCAACAACAACTTTGAGGGGGTCATTGGCCATGACCTTGCTAGCGTAAATTAAATACAAAAATTGGAGCATGGTTTTGATGTACTAGTGATTTTGTGAATTGGCCATCATCTCCTCTTCCTACATAATTGCTGACTTGACCAATGTAGTTATGTTTTGGCCAAATTATTGGGAAAGGTAGATCTGTCTGCAAAGTCAAGATCAACTTTGAAGCATCATATGAATAAATTTAAGAAAGAACAGTTGATGTGAGCTGCGAGTTACCAAATGGTCCCATGTTTACTTGTTTGTTGTATTTCAACAACAAAGTTGCAGTAATTTTTATTTATTCGTTTATTGGCTTTGGTTCAAATTTATATCGAGAAAATCAATTTGAAAAAGATTTTGTTTCTAATAAAACATAGATCTTATATGATGATTTTTATTTGTTTTCGTGAAACATATAAATTAGGATTTTTGTGATATTATCTTATTGATATAAACTTTGTGTTTTCATAAATCTTATATATAATCTTATAAACTTGTAAATCTTAATACAAATCATAAATTTAAAAAAAACTTAAGTCCCTCCCCTTCTATTTTGTCTGTGCTAAGTGTTAATAAAATAGATAAACAATAAGCATTAATTATTTAACAAGAAAATTATTAATTAAGTATTAAAGATATTAATGTAATAAATAAATAAATATTAATTAGGTATTAAGTATATAATTAATATTAATTAATCTAGGTGTATTATTGATATTAATATTGTATTAATTTTATTGAAAGATTATTTTTCAAGGAAATTCCTACTTCAAAATCCAGGTATTATTAATTTTACATATATGTAAGATTCTCTGTTACTTACTATGCCTTTATATATAATCTTTCCCCAATTCTTTTTTTAATATTAAGTATTAGGTATTAAGTATTAGGTATTAGGTATTAGGTATTAGGTATTAGGTATTAGGTGTTGGTGCAAGTAAACAAATAATATATTTCTATTGCGTGGTTTCTATAATATCAATAATGTTGTTAATGTTGTTTTATTATTGATCTTTGATATTATTGAAATTGTTGATGGTGTCAAATTAATATTATTATAGATTTTTTTTGTGATTAATTTAACCAACAGGTAAGACGCCTGATGCAGGAGATTTATTTTTGGTATTTGATTCATCTAATCCTAACAACTCGCGGATTTTTTCTGCAATATCTGCATAGATACTTTTTATACCATGCTCTCTATACAATTGTGATAACCGCTGTTTATCTTCATCTTCAATAGACAATTCCTTGACTTTGAGTTCTATGGTGTAATAACGCTTTAATACATGAAAACCATTAATTCTCGCTGGGTCAACTACTCTCTTATCTTCACCAAATTTTTTTGCCATTTTCTTTATTGTTTCGGGGCTACGTTCCGGAGTGCGTAAACTATCGATCAAGAGTTCACGTTCTGATAACATATCTTAAGTTCGATGTAAACTCGATTTTTAATAGTAATAGTAATGATAGCGATAGTAATAATAGATTATTATTAAAAGAAAATTAATTTTACTAAATAAAAAAAGCCGAATAAATAAAAAAATATGAGGTTTTTGTAATAATAGCAAGGAAGAATAAAATTTTTTTATTAAAGTAAAAATGATTCGAATGATTTTTAGTTCTTTTTCTCCGTGCACAATGGTCATTTATATTTGAAAAATAAATGATAAATGATTGCGGTAAGCTGAATTGAATATATATATCTCGGCTAAAAACAGAAATTTGAATATTAGAGGCATCGAATTATTGGTTTTTCTAAATTCATTTCCGACAATTTCTTTTTATTATTATAGATCATCCAAATCCCCAATGTAATATAATATAATAGTAAACAAGGTAGCCTGTCTGATTGGTTAATACCAGTCGCCTGTTACATTGCAAGGTTCTTATTAGTGGTAGTGGTGCTTCAGGGTGGATATTCGAATAGATCAAGTATGAAAAAAATGCATATTGTTAAAGAATTTATTTATGAATAAATTAGGAAATCTATATCGATACTTTAATTGGAAGTTAGTATTATAGTATTAGGATAATTAGAATAATCAATTGTATTTAAAAGAGGCTCTTTTTTACACGTGTGTAAATCTATATCTATAAATAATATTATTTATCAAAGTGTGAAAATTAAAATTTAAATTAAAAATTTCCTCTTTTAAATCTTTTAAGGTTTTGTTTTTTAAAAAACCCTTATTTTCCAAAAGCCAAGTATTCTAACGATATACGTCAAAACCCTTATTTACATGGCATATAATTCTTATCAAATGATACAATTTTAAAATGATTTTTTTTTCGAATTAAACTGCATTAAAAAGTCTATATAAATTTAATTATTTGACATTGGTCAGGACTTTAATTTCCAGGATTTCCATTTTGTTTGATGCACACGAAAATTGGTCGTGCTGAAACATGGCAAAATAAATCTTCTGACCAAAATTCCAATTGGCCAACTCGGCTATTATTACAAGATTGAGGTTACCTAACCATTATCATCATCTCCTTCCTATCAATCAACTAACCGAATATGCAAATTGTTAAATAATCACCAAATTTGTATATATGGCACAGTCAAATTATCACTGCCCAAGAAAAAATGTTCGACCATAATCGTTTTTTGTTATATCAATCGACAATTCTTCTAGAATAAGACATATTTATATTGCGAAGAAAAACATGAAATAATTCCCATATAATTAGTTATTTCATATGATAATAATAGGCGTGGCCACGAAGTGGACGAGGTTATCTCATTTTGACGGCCTTGAATGCTTACTTTATTAATGGAATTCATATATGTGTTTGTGATTTAATATTTGAGCGTATTACGTTTTATCATAGGAATATACTGTAGTAAATTTTATAAAATAAAAAAATCTTTCGTTAAAGATCGGCAATGTGTTACCACCATTTTGTTTTTTTTCAATATTCAACTTCAATTGCATAAAAAAATTTACAACAGTAAAACACACCAATCAATCACTATATACTCTCTCTATAACTAATAATGTATTTTATTATCTGTCATGTGTTTTATATTAATATTAATATTACCCAATTGTCACATTCTTCTAGAAACATTAATTACTATTACTATTATAATTGCTATTACCTTAAGATGATGATGCATATGTTACTGTAATAAGAATTCCTTAAAACGGAATTCTAAACCATCGCCAAGCAAAAAAAATTTTATTGTGCCACCTTGATAAAAAAAAAATATTATTATTCGTCAATAAATGGCGGGGAAAAGTACTGATGGCGCGCTTGGTATGGTTTCTGATGTAACTAAGAAATTAAATAAAGGTGAAAAGCATCCAAAGATTACTTGTGATAATGCTGACTGGCAAAACAAAAATAATATTGAACTATAATTCATGATTACAAACTCAAATGTGATGGTAGCTTTAGATTGATCAAAAACCTTAAGCGGGTCGTGCTATAGAAATTGCAAAAATATTTATGACGTTTCTGGATTGAATAAATCTCGACGACGTTATGATGTTGTAAAAGGCTTTTGATATTTTAACAGCAAATTTGGTTTAGAAGCAACAATTTCAATAATTTCAATACTATTTTTGAAGCTTCTAATTCTGCATGATCTTGTAAAAATTCAGGAGATTGTTAATGGTTCGTTTGTGACTTTAAGTTATTGAAGACTAGCACAAAAAGAAATCATAACATTGTAAAAGATAATCATTTCCAATATTGTCACCTTACTTTTATAGATCTCAAGTGTCAAGAATATCTTTTGCAATATTGAACATCACATAAATTTGTTGGCGGTTGCTACAGTGCAAGTGAACTTTCTGCAATTAAGAAATCGCAACCGGTTGCAGAATTTGAAAATAGAAGCTATACTATGAATATCTGCAACTAATTGCAACGAATATCAGATTTTCAAATCATTGCAGACGCCAACTTTAACTACACGGTCAAAAACAATATTTTAGTGTCACATATGAAATCACATGACAAACCAAACATTTAACAACGAATTCTTTATTTATTTTTGAACTTGAAACATGATTACCGAGAAGAGAATGATAATGGTGGTAGATGGATGATCTTGAAATTAAAAAAGTTGTAGCTTCCAAAGGTGTTAAAGCTTGGAATTCTAGTTTTGATGTAACTAAAATCATAGCTATCGTAAGAGTTTAAAATAATAATTTTTAATTTTATTTATTTTTGTGAAAAACAATATTACAATACTATGTTACACATCAAAATAATAATAGTAATAGTATATAAATTATAGTTATAATATATTCATTTTGGGAAGAAAAAAAATTATTCTACTTTATTAGCTACTTTGATCTAAACAATTAAATACTATTTTTTTACCCTCTAAAAATGTAGTTTTATAGAATATTTTTCACAAAGGTTTTGAATTATTTGTCGAACTTTATGAAAATGATGACGCGGCATTGTGGAGAAAAGCTACATGGATAAAATAAAAGAATTGATTATTTTTTTAATTGATTGATTGAATGAATGAATGAATGAATGAATGAATATTTTACTGGTATACTCACATGATGTTCAATTTGATAATTTAAACCACCACAAAACCAATCTACACACCATTGAAATTTAGGATTTCTAGCAATAATATCTCTTCCAGTAATAATTTGCTCAACAAAAAAATCCATATCCTGAGCTTTTTCTTTGCTAAGTACTTTCATTCCAGAATGATTTAAAACAAACACCAGACCCAATAATAGTCCACATGTTGTTTGAGAAGTAATAAAAAATGCAAATTTTAACCAAAAATCGTCAATTGAACCTAGAAACAATGAATACCAAATGTAATGTATGACAAGTGAATTTGTTGGCTTTTGCTAATTGGCATACGAGCTTTTGTTGTCTTGTTGACTTGACCGTCAGGGAGTACAAAAAAGATGCTCCATTCTACGAACAATGCTTGGTGAAAATATTTGTTCATTTTCTTTTACCATTTTTGGTCAAGCATATCAAAAAGTGCATATTCGGACCATGTAAGAATAGGATGTGTATTGATATCAGGGTCTTGACTATGAACATTTGGTGCTGCATGATGAGTGTTATGTTTATTCTTCCACCTAACAAAATAAATAAATAAATAAATAAATACATTATTAATTTTTAAAAGGGGGATTTTTTTTTACCAGCTAGGAGAAAATCCTTGACAAACACCACCAAGAAAATCACTCATCAAATCATTATATTTTCTATCCTCGAATACTTGATGATGTAAAAAATCATGCGAAAGCCATCCATACTGTTGCCAGAAAATACCCAATATTACGGCACTTATTACAACACCCAGTAATTTATCACCGATTTAATCAATATCAATAATGATGTAAATGAAATTAAAAGGTTCGAAAGAACCTTTAAAGTATAACAAGTCTTTGATGAATCAAAATATTTCTTATTTGTAAATATTTCCTTGATCTCTCTTAGTTCTTGTGTAAATCCTATATATTAATTATTAGTTATTACAATCATTAGTATTATCAATCATCTATTATCTATTATTACATATATATATAAAGATCAATCTTTCTCTTTTTCTCCTCTACCTCCTCTTTTAGTAATGATATCTTCCTCTACCAAATCGCCAATATAAAAATTTGCCAATACTTCGTGTGAACTTTTTTGATGAAAATTATGAAATGCATCTTAAAAGAGTAAATTTTTTTACATCAAGTCACGTGTATATCACATGATTTTTACCAGTGCATCCTTCCCAAGATGAGTCAAAATCACAGCGCCGCCAGGATGACCAGGAATAAAATCTTTAACATCATACACTTTATTATATATTATCAAATACCAAGGATTCTCTTGTTCATTATTAATCTTTTCTACATTTTTATGTATGTTGTAATGTTTCATAACATCTTCTCGACGAAAGGTTTTAACTAAAAAAACACTTTTTCATTTATTTACGATTTATTGGTGCTGTTTTTTTATAATATATATATATATATATAAATGATATATTATATATTATGTTAATAATTAGCAAAACGAAATCTTCATCGACATTTTCAACTGTATCGTTGGATGACATTACGAAATTCTTTGATTCATAAATCTTACAAATTATATATCGGTTTATTTTTTATTTTATAGAGCAAATAACAAATGAAAAAGAATAGATATATAAAGAAAGAATAAGAATAAATAAAGAAAAAGATCCATAATTTTTTTTTAACACGATAAATACTTTTTCAAATTAATTGACGATCCGCCTTAGTGAACCTAAATAGTAATAATAGATCAGCAGAGGAAAAATGTCACTTGACGACTTTGTATAAAAAAATGGTACTATGCTTTTTTACGTTATGGAACAAATGTCAAAGTGAGATTCTTCGTGTATAAAAAAAAAGTTTTAATCGGAGTTTCTATTCGAATAATAACAAGAATTATTCAAATCATTCCAAATATTCATTATTAATTTTAGTATTCAATTACATTTCAAAACTGAAACTGTTTTAAACTTCAAAACTATTTTAAAATCCAAAACTTTAAAAAAAGGCAAAATGTGAATTCATAGACGGATCGTCAATTAAATGTTTTTCAATGAATTGTGTACCACAAAAAAAATTGGGGAAGAAAATTTTTTCAAAATGAATTTATCATACTGATTTTGGTCACTCGAGAAACTTATATTAGATGTTCCCGGGAAAACTGGGCAAACTTTATAATCTTTTTACTCGTAATATGTTTGGCCAATTGGAATTTCACATACGTGAATTGCAAATTCACATAGATTTCATTTTCACGCACAACAGTATCATATTCAAGTCTAGTACAAGGAATCCGCATGAATTTCTTTAATGTTTGGTTCTACACCAAGATGTATTTTTACATCATAAAAATCTTCTGTATTTAATAGTCTTTCATTTTCATTAAAATATTTTTCCAAAATTGTTGAATCCATTTATTCTTTTTAAATATTGCAATTGTAAAATGATAAAATGATGATAATAATAACCAAGCTTGCAGTATTGGTATGACATAAATAAACCGGTTTTACAACTGACACTTTCCTTTTTCGTCGTTATCATACAAATTTTTTACATAACTTGCAGATTTCAGTTACCATTGAAAAGTTCGGGTAAGTTCATCCTTTTTATCCTTCCATAGATTTTCAATTTATTGCGAGTATTTTTTTTTTCACAAACTGGTTTTGCTTGGTTAACGCGATTTTTTATGTAGGCCCCATCTTATTAATTGTTTTGATTCGTATCATGTAGGCTGGTTATTATAAGTTTTATATGTAGTAAAAAGCCAAGGACAATTCCAATTAACAACTCATAAAAAAGTTCAATATTCAAAGTAAGTATTTTGATATTATTGATGAAAATATTTCTTTAATATTTACTTTTTACCTGAAGGTGAGTGAATTGGTGATTTTTCAAACTCCATAAACTAAGTTTATACGCAAATCAGCTGTTTACTTAATGCATTAAAGCACGGGTTGGTTAAATAGTATTAGTATTAGAATATGTATTTGAATTCCTTTACTAATCCAGTTTCAAAAATAAATAATTATCTCGATCTAACCACTTTGTATTTGATATGATAAAAATCTCGCACGAAGATCTTTCCATTTTCTCGAATTGAGAATTAATATAATATATGATAACAGTAAATATTATAATGAACAATTTTCTAATTCCGATTTTTTTTTTTTGTATATAAAGGGCAGATAAAAAAATTAACCGAGAATGTCTTTTCTGAATAAAGAAATAATAACAAGTTTCGACTTGATAAACACATCAAATCTAAAGTCTGATTCGCTCAATTTCATTGCCACCAATTATTTCGCATAATTCAAGGCAAAATTTTCTAATATGATTGTCCAGGTTCTCCTTATATCAACCTTTAATCACGTATTTTCTGGCCTTTCCCTAAATACTAATACTAACAGAATTTAAAAACGTCCCCTATTTTTTTTTGCATGTGTAACGAAGATTCCGTTATAAAACGATTGACCGTTCGTTCATATCATGTTTTTAAACTCTGCTATCTCTTAGAATTAAATTTTCAAGGAGTTTTTGAAACTTTTATCAAAAAATGTTTACTATGTAAAATGGGGCATGGTTTCTAAGCCAAAAATGCTCTACATGAATAGCTATATATAGAGATGATGGTATTGACTCAAAATTGCTCAAGAATATTATTAATATTATTTATAAAAAAAGACATTTTAATTTTACAATCAAAGACTCACGATAACGGTGGTATTCAATTAACGTTTCCTCAAAAGACTCGTCTTGGAAGTTTAACTTATGCAACTAACAATAAATGTTTATTACATGATGAAAGTCTATGTTTATCATATGATACAATATTCAACTTACTCCCAATTAACTATCTATGTTACACCTATTTATCCATCCAAAGAATGAATGGCTGGTAAGACATCGTTAAATGAAATTTTCAATAAAAGAACCGATTTAGATGAAAGTTCTTGTGACAAAGCTTTTATTTGGAAAGGCAACAAATTAATAAATGAATTTATTTATTGATTAAAAAAAGAAATGCACAAGAGATCATTTTTAAATATAAATAATTCAGATTTCAGTAATATTGAAATCAGCATTTTGTGTATTACATGATTTAAAGGATAAAAGTCTTTATTCATCGAATGAATGTCCTTATTATCAGGTAAATTACCTTGTATATAAATAATATAGAGTGATATTTTATAATTAATGGCACAGAGAAAGTATTGATTGATTGCACAAGAAAGAATGGTCATAAATATTGTGTGTGTACTTCCAAAAGCACCACATTCACCTTACTATTTTACAGTTGAAATAGAAATACCATGGAAGGAGATTCTGTAAAAACTGCAGGAAAAGGAGTAAGTAGATGATATATTGAATTTTTACTATCTTATTAATTTCGTTATTTCATAATTTCAGTTATGTTAAACGTTCCAAAAAGAATTATTACCACACTTATTTATAGATAATGGACACGAGGAAAAAGCATTCTTTTTGGTTATATAGTTCATAGACTTTCACTTGATGCTCTTGATCGTGATCATTATGGTAAAAAAGTATGGACCTTTCTGATCCTCTTTGTTTCAGGACGTTGTCTCAAAAGACGTTTCTTTATATCTTAAAAGTTATTGTTGTTACTACTATTAATTTATTGAATTTTGTTATTATTACTATCTAATGTATAGATTCAAATTTAATTTCAATCTAAATTAGCCATTAAAGCACAACAATTCTAATGGCTTAAAATATTATCTTACTACGGGTAATTGACAGTTTAAAATTTTCTTGCATTTATTTTATTATCAATTTAAAAATTTTTTTTAATATAGTCTCAAGCGAGTGTATCACAGGCACTTAATAGACACACTTGCATTCACATTATCGCATTTAAGAATATGCAATACACCAATGGGAAAAGATGATAAAATTGCCAAGCCACGTCGATTGTGATGATATATCCTGCTGAGACATCTGAAAGTTAAACTTATGATCTTGTTAAAAAAATCTTTCATTGATCCGTTGAAGTTCCTCAGAACAAATAATTGATTCCTTGGGTTAACAGTTTGATCCTTCAAATATAAAAGTTTTCGTTAATGGTATGAGTGGCCTGATGTATCTTCTCACCTGAAACACTCAAGACGTATTGTTGATGTAAATCCTGAATTTAGTGTTGTAAAGGACATCCTGAAAATCAACCGATCATATACAAAGATTAATTTATGTATGTAATATGGACAGCTAGAAACTTAAAAAGAAAAAAGGAAAGAAGTGAGAGCAGAAAAGGAGGTGGTAGTGTAGTATCAGTTGGAAAAAGTGGAAGGATACGAAAAACAGGACAGGATAGGGCATTCATAAAGCATCGGGCCAAGAAAATGAATGTCACTTACACTGGCAAGATTTAAAATCGATAGGATATATTGATGCAGAAAAAGAAGAGACACTAATTATTTACATGATGTCTGACGATTTAGCAGAATCAAGGGAAGATAATATGGTTAATGAAGGGCCTGGAACTGCAAATGCTGTGACAAATGATGTCTCTGGTAATGTCAAGAGTAAATTGCATCAACATATACTCATCCCAATGTGATATAGAGATTTGCGCAAGTATACTACATTTCCTGATCATAACAAGGTAAATTAATCAACGTGAGATTTTAAAATTTTATACAATTTACAATAATGATTTTAATATAACTGATATTTTGAAATTTGTTTTCTTATGAAGAGGAATAGCCACCACATAACGCTTATCGATCTACCATGGCCCTGTAAAAAACCTGATCCGGATTTGAAATTTCATGTTTTCTTCAGGAATGTATCATATTCATGGGAAAATCATGGAATGATTACAGAGGAAAGATGGACTTTGTCACTGTTGTAAAAATTTTCAAGAGTATTTCTGGAATTAAAATTCAAATAACAGACTATTTTTTTTATAGGGTGGGTAGGAAGATTATGAGCTGATTGCATTTAGAACTGTTGTATATGAAGTTGAAACTTTGAAATTTATAATTAAAACTTTGGGTGGGGTGTTTGGATATGAAATCCTGTTTGGCTGGCTAATTTGAATTTCACATGTGTGAATTACAAATTCACATAAATTTCATTCCATGCACAACAGAACTAAAGAATGCATCAATGGTAATTGGCAATAGCAACAGGTATAATTGAATTGAGACGAATATCAGCTAGATATATTCAACGAAATGTTTCTACACGGATTAGAAGCACTGAAACTGGCATTGTTGATCAGGTTACGGCTACAACAATGCTGAAGGAATGAAATTTGCTAAAGGTGTAAGATGGGAGGTGATGTAATTTTATTTTTTCTGCGAGTTTTGGTTGTTACAGTATTTTGATAAGGATAAATAATATATGCGAATAGATAAATTTCTAGTAGACACGGACAAAAGGTACAATTGTTATATGCAATTTACAGCTTAAGGATTATATTTGATATAATTATAAATTCATATGCTATTTCTCGTTATATGACAATTGGACATTCGGTCGACTGTTTATTATAATTATATATAAGTTTAATATGTACATTGGAGACATATTAGGCAAGAAAGTGATCCCACACCATTTATTTAAAAGAGTCGTGAATAACAAAACATTGATAATATAAATATTTGTGCCGCTAATTTATACCCTGCATGAGCATTATACGTCACGATCTTGTTATTCCAAACTCCTAAAATTTTGCCGAATAAGTGTCAAAATGTACATATTAAATTCATTTGTATTATGATTACATCCCTTCAGCTGTAACGTATAATGTTCATGCAGGATATAAATTAGCAGCACAAATATTTATATTATCAATGTTTAAACATTATGGAAGATGATAAGATTTTAACGAGTGTGTAATATTAAAAAAAAAATTGTAAATCTAAAGAAAAAAATATTCCAATGCAAAGCGTGCAAAAAGACTACACAGGTATAACATATTAATTATTCAACTTGCTTGTCCCTTTAATTTTTAACCAGATATCTCAAATATACATCACATACGCTTGTAAATTGTTATTCCAAGTAATGAGCGTTTCTCCAAGAAATAGCAACAATCAATAGCGATTAAATAATAATATAATAATGCAATATTTTATATTCAAAAATGACATTGTTTAGCATATTTGGAAAAATAAAATGTGATTCATGTATAATATCGTTTTGGTAATAAAAATTTGTTATCAGATTTGTTGATAATTTTGGACATATCGACATACAATATACAGATTTAGTAGTGAATTTATTACATAATGACTATGATTAATGATTTTTGTTATGTAATAAAACATTACAGGAAAATATCAAAAGATCTGTTTTGTTTCACTCCTGCGTTTGATCGAACCAACCAATTTATAAAGAACGTGTTAGTAAAAAAAAATTTTTTTTCTGATCTTCGAAAAAATTGAAGGTATTTTTTCCATTATTATTATACCATTGACGACAAAAAATTTTTTTTCGTTTTTCAATGTTTGTGTATACATGTGTTTTTAATGATTTTTTTTTTTTTTTGATGTATGAATGCAATATTAATAATATTAATTTATTTTCACACAATTTATTTACACATCAAAAAGAAAATCCATAATAATAATAACGGTGACGGTATCGATACGGTATCGATGACAACATCGGTATTGATGGATGAGCAACATACCGTTTTAGTAAAAATTGTGTAGATGATGAATGATGGGAAAAATTTTTTTTTTAAAGGGCGGGCGATGTATGATAATTTTTTTTCTAGGAGAGGTTTCTTTACGATTTGTACCCAAGATAATAAAAAATGAAAAAAAAACAAGGGAGTTTTTCTTTGTATTATTTTTCATTTTAGCAAAAATATATATAATAAACATAAATAATTAAGTAATATAATTAAATATATGAATGGACAATGATTATTTTTTTAATTAAATAACTGGTAATTTAAATAATTTTAAATTGAATAACTTGATGACTTGTGTTATGATGTTTTGATAAACAATTAAAAGATTTTTTTAAAATATTTCCTGGGCTACCAACTAATTCCATTCAGTATATTTCATTTAACTTGTTCATAATCTCTGTGAACAACAATCAATTGACCAATCAGAATAAATATAAATTTCTAAACTTCTAAATCTTCTCTGTCCTGTCTCTCTACACCTATTATTAACAACTAATCAACATTAACATTCATTCATCCATTCAAATAATAATTTATAGTATTTAATGTTGGTATTTAATATTTTAATGATAGTGAATGGCGTGAATGAGCGGATAAATAAATGGATGTATAAAATGGATAATTATGGGCAAAGAAAATGATCTTCAATGCATTCTTTTAAAAACAAGGACTTATCATAATTTATTTACAATAATAAAGATTCTTGAATAGGAAAATAAAACATCCTCAGGAGGAAAAATTATTATTATTAGAAAAACACGAGATTGAAAATTTTCTTTTTTTTTATGTTATATATAATTTGTGACTATATGCTGCTGATGTTATCGTCATCATCATGTGATTTATTCATATGTAGACCATTCATTTGATTCTTCTTATACACACACGCACACACGCGAATCTTTCAATCAATCAATCAATCAATCAATTATTAATTGTAATAATAATAAATACACTTTTGAATTTAAAATCACGCGTCCGCAATATTATTTTGGCCGTGAAGCCTCGACCAAAAAATGCTAAATCATTGCACGTACGTACACACACATGAATAATATTAAAGAGCACATCGTCATTGTATTATTATCACTTTTTCTTGGCAAGCTAAAAAAGACTTTACTTTAATTGTTAAAGATAAGCTATTTAAAAATAAAATTTTAATCATAACCTAATATCGATAATACATCCTATTATTTTAATAATATATACTTTTTTTATCACTTGTCGATTGTAAAAAATATTTTATTTTCCCCCTGTTTTATCACAATTTTTTTTTGAAAAAAAATTTTTTCTTTGATCATTGGACAATATTTTTATTCGATTCTTGTAACAAAAAAAATTATTCGCACATATGCAATGCATTTACATAATAATACTTTATAAGAGGAAAAAACCACGTTTAATATTGTCGAATTAATACATATTTTTTTTAATTATTTTGTTTAAAGAAGGCTGCATGCAAAAAACACCTTTGTTTATCAAATTTTTCTTTGATTAAAAAAGACTTTAATTCTTTATATGGAAAGAAAAGATCTTCAGCCAAATAATCTTTATTTTATAGACGTGTATATAAATTCTAAATAAATAAATAAATCTTTTAATTAAACCCCAAAAAAATTTTATAATGATAACACTAATGTGTTTTTCAATATTTTCAATTTTTTGATGATTTTTTAAAAAATCACTTATGCTATTCGTGTTGTCTAATCTTGCATACATATATATACTTATAATAGTGTGCGTGGTGTGTGTGAATATTTTTATCTTAATTGTTATCAATACTATTTATTAATTAATAAATTTACGTGACGGGCGTAATTAAAAACATTGATCATCGATCAGGCATTTATCTATCATCAGTAATAAATGATTAGCTGGCTGATTAGCGTGATTGATAATGATGAAATTTGATCATATGACTAATAAATACTGCAATATGGACTAGCTATTATTATAAATGTGGAAGATTTGTTGATTTCAAAGAATAATACAATTACGCAAGACTTATTTCATTATTTCACTAGTTTCTATTGTGTTTTTTCTATTTATCGTGTTACTATTTCTTTTACTTTTTATTTTTTAGTTTCTGTAAAAAGTTTAAGATTGAAATTTAAAAATTTTGGAATTTTCTAATTTATAACGAATTAACGAGCTAACGAACTGAACAAACTAATAATAACGAACAAACGAACGAATGATAATCATCGACGTTAATCTAACTATAATAAGTCATATAATAATGTATAATGGTATGCAATTGATGTATGTATGTATGTGTTATAATCTACAATACATAATTTTATAATTTTTCACTAAAAATAAAATCTAAATAAGTAAAGTTCTAATTTAGGGGTTCATTTCTTTGTTGACTTTTTCACCGTTTTTTTTTAATGTTACACCGATTTGCATTTCTTGTTTTTATCAAGTATTATTTAATTAGAAAGATACCGATTATTAATAATAAAACCGTTTTATTAACAGATGTTTTTTCCATATTCTCTCTCAATTTATATATATTTGGCATTTAAAGGTTGTTTTTTGAATTTATCAATATAAATTTTATTATGAGTTTGTAGCTTAGTGCTAATAATTTGGTGAGCTACTGTTTTGTTACAATCACTACTATTGTTGTTGGGTTTTTTGATGGGATTGAAGTCAATAAACAAAATTAATTGGTGAGAATTTGTATGTGTGATAATAATTGGTTTCGGATCACCTTTTTTTTTATTAAAGATTTCTCTGATTTATAATTACACAATATATATAATATATATCATTCATTCAATACACAATTACAATATATATATCATCAATATTGTAAATTATGAAGATTCTTACTTAATTTAGAATTTTTTTTTTGTTTGTTATTGTTTTTGTTATAATTAGGATAAAATTTTTAACAGGAGCTATGTTATTTTTACTTATATATTTTTATTGCTTTATAATTAAGGTTTTTTAAATATAAATTTTTTTTGTCACGATTGCTTGCATTTATTCTATTATTATTTATTATAAATGGAAATTGTGATATTAATTACTCTTCTTTAGAAATAATTAATTAACGGGAGAGGGAGGAGGGAGGGAAGAAAAGGGAAACTATATTATTTGTTTGGAAGAAAGCAGTTACTTTATTTGCCACAAGAAAAAACATGGAAATTAATTTTTCCATTCAAGCCAAAGATTTTGTCAATTAAAAAAATTTTTTCTTTTACTTTAAATATCGATTTTAGGAAATTAACCAATTACCAAATACCAAATTTATCTATCAGTTAAAAACTTTTTGAATTCCATATAAAATTATGTGTCGCTTGAAACATTATAAAAAAATCAAGGCATTAGCATACAGACGCATATTAATTAATTGGCCAATTATTTAATGGAGGGTAGTAAGCGAAAAAGGATGATGTGCGTAATGAGTGAGTGAGATGTAAGTTGGTGAATTAGATAGAGAAAAAAAATAAGCAGGCGAGAGAATTATATATACACATACGCACACACAAAGGAGGATAGGTAATGAATGAATCTTTGGAAGTAAAGACATGGATATATATATCTACGTTACATAATATTGTAACGTGTGTTTTACAAAGATTTTTTTATGTAAATCT